CTAGTATGTGGTCTATTCTGGAGAATGTTCCATGTGCACTTGAGAAGAATGTGTATCCTGTTGCTTTTGGGTGTAGAGTTCTATAGATGTCTATTAGGTCCATCTGTTCTAGTGTGTTATTCAGTGTCTCTGTGTCCTTACTTATTTTCTGTCTGGTGGATCTATCTTTTGAAGTGAGTGGTGTGTTGAAGTCTCCTAAAATGAGTGCATTGCATTCTATTCACTCCTTTAATTTTGTTAGTATTTGTTTCACATATGCTGGTGCTCCTGTGTTGGTTGCATATATATTTATAATGGTTATATCCTCTTGTCGGACTGAGCGCTTTATCATTATGTAATGTCCTTCTTTATCTCTTGTTACTTTCCTTGTTTTGAAGTCTATTTTGTCTGATACTAGTAGTGCAACACCTGCTTTTTTGTCCCTATTGTTTGCATGAGATATGTTTTTCCATCCCTTGACTTTTAGTCTGTGCCTGTCTTTGGGTTTGAGGTGAGTCTCCTGTAAGCAGCATATAGATGGGTCTTGTTTTTTTATCCATTCTATTACTCTGTGTCTTTTGATTGGTGCATTCAGTCCATTTACATTTAGGGTGATTATCGATAGGTATGTACTTATTGCCATTGCAGGCATTAGATTCGTGGTTACTAAAGGTTCTAGGTTACTTTCCTTACTATCTAAGAGTCTAACTTAACTCACTTAGTATTACAAACACAATTTAAAGGTTCTTTTCTATTCTCCTCCTTTTTCTTCCTCCTTCATTCTTTATATATTAGGTATCATATATATATTTCAGGATTAGTTGTATCATATTCTGTACTCTCTGTCTATCCCTTGATTGACTTTGGGAATAGTTCATTTAATTTTGCATTTGCTTAGTAATTAGCTGTTCTACTTTCTTTACTGTGTTTTTATTACCTCTGGTGCCAGCTATTAAACCTTAGGAACACTTCCTTTTATGGCAGTCCCTCTAAAATACACTGTAGAGATGGTTTGTAAGATAAATTCTCTCAGCTTTTGCTCATGTGGAAATTGTTTAAACCCTCCTTCAAATTTAAATAATAATGTTGCTGGATAAAGTGATCTTGGTTCAAGGCCCTTCTGCTTCATTGTATTAAATACATCATGCCACTCCTTTTTGGTCTGTAAGGTTTCTGTTGAGAAGTGTGATGATAGCCTGATGGACTTTCCTTTGTGTGTGATCTTATTTCTCTCTCTGGATGCTTTTAATATTCTGTCCTTATCCTTGATGTTTGCCATTTTAATTACTGTATGTGTTGGTATTGTCTTCCTTTGGTGCCTTGTATTGGGAGATCTGTGCATTTTCATGCATGGCCTGCGAGACTATCTCATTCCCCAGATTGGGGAAGTTTTCAGCAATTACCTCCTCAAAGACACTTTCTATCCCTTTCTCTCTTCTTCTTCTGGTACCCCTATAATGTGAATATTGTATCCCTTTCTTTTGGTCACACAATTCTCCCCATATTCTTTCATTCTTAGAGATCCTTTTTTCTCTCTGTGCCTCAACTTCTTTGTATTCCTCTTCTCTAGTTTCTATTTCGTTTTTCGTCTCCTCCACCGAATCTAATCTGCTTTCAGTACCCTCCATTGTGCTCTTCAACGATTGGATCCCTGACTGGAATTCATTCCTGAGTTCTTGAAGATCTTTCTGTATCTCCATGAGCATGTTAATGGTTTTTATTTGAACTCCCTTTCAGGAAGATTCATCAGGTTGATGTCATTTAAATCTTTCTCAAGAGTTGTTTTAATAATTTTACTCTGAACCAGGTTCCTTTGGATTTCATATTTGTATATGGCGCCCTCTAGTGCCCAGAAGCTCTACTCTCTGGAGCTGCTCAGACCCTGAAGCAATGTTAGGGGTCTCAGGGGAGTGGAATTGGTGCCTGGGGGGAAGAAAGAGCTGTTTCCTGCTTCCCCACTGCTATGCCTGACTCCAGTGCCTGAACCAGTGGGCCAAGCACAAAGGTATAAACCTGTATGCTTCACGTTTGTAGTTGCTGTAGGCAGATCTTCCTTCTGGCTGGCCGAACACAGGGTAGGGTTTACCGGTTTGCGATCCAGGTGGGGCTGCCTGGGATAAAGGCTCAGTAGGCTGCTGTCAAGGAGGGGGTCCTTCAGCTGTGTAGCCAAGGCAGGTAGCTGGAGCACCTGAAGATCGTGAAAGCTCCCAACCTTCTGGGCAGAGTGCCCCTGGTCAGTTTTGTCTTCTTGTCCTTTCTCCTGAGCAGTAAGCTCTGTACACCCTTGCCCCTTTAGTAGACTTCTTGCTGAGGGCTTTCTTGTTTGGAAGTCTCTCAGACTGCCCACCTTTCTTTTGTCCCAGAGCAGCTGGATATGGATCTTTGCTTTCCACAAGCGGCTGGAATCTCAGTCTTTCCAGGAATTCTGCTTGTCTTAGCTTTCCAACCCCCTAATCATGAGAGTACATGCAAGCACCATGAAATGTAGGTTTGTGCTCCCAGAGTAGATCTCCAGAGTTAGGTATTCAGCAGTTGTGGGCCTCCGCTCTGTAGCCGCTCCATTTCTCTTCCTGTTCTGCTTGGCCACAAGTTTTGTGTTACCCTGTTTTGTGAGGTCTGCTCTTTTCTCCAGGTGTATGCAGTCTTGTGCAGTCCTCTTTCCTATTGCTTTTTCAGGATTAGTTGTATTAATTATATTTTCTTAGTATATGCGGTTTTAGGAGGAAGCCTCTGTCTCACCTCTCACGCCACCATTTTTAATTCTCTCTTGCATGTGATTTTTATAGAATCTTTCTTAGAAAGTTAAAAGGTTCGTTTTGGATGTGGTAAGTGCATTTCTAGTGGAAATGACAGTTCTCATAACCTTTTTGGAATTCACTGGGAATGTGTATTAAAATTAAAAATACATATATCCTTCCATCTAATAGTTCCATTCCTGGGAGTCTATCACTTAGAACTATTAGATAGGAACATATATGTAAAGCTGTTTGTTGTAGCTTTTCCAAACTCCTTGTTGGGTGAAAGCTAAAAAGGATTTAAAAAGTCTGTACCCTTGGGGAATGATTGAATAAAGTGTGCTATTACTATATGGGTGTTGTCCTGGCTTAAAAGTTTGTATTTGTGCAAGCATTGAAAGGGGTATAGAAGAATGCTCACCAGTTTGTTAACCTTAGTTACCTGGTGCATGTGAGGATAATAAGACTGTCATAAATATGAAGAAAGTATCCACATTGAGCCAAAGTGTATGACATTTCTATAAAAATTGATCATGTTTATAATATATTACTAAAACTATGTATGAACAACTAGTCACCAAAATATCTCAAGCAATAGATGAGTTACTAGCTTTTTTTTCTCCCTAGCAACACGAAACATTCCTACCTAATGGAGATCGTGCCGGCTTCTTAATAGGTGATGGTGCTGGTGTAGGAAAAGGAAGGACAATAGCAGGGATCATCTATGAGAACTATTTGTTGAGTAGAAAAAGAGCTTTGTGGTAAGTGCTGAAGACTTGTGAAGCTTTCATTTGTGAACAATTCAGCATGTGGGGATGAATTTTATTGAGTAGGTTGGTGTATTTGTTTTTAAAGTATTAAGCCTAGTTTCCTTCCTAAATACTGCTAGAATGATCGAATTTGTATTTAATCTGTGCATTTTTTTTTTGTGGCAGGTTTAGTGTTTCAAATGATTTAAAGTATGATGCTGAAAGAGATTTGAGGGATATTGGAGCAAAAAACATTTTGGTCCATTCATTAAATAAGGTACATATAAAGTGTGCTATTACTATATGGGTGTTGTCCTGGCTTAAAAGTTTGTATTTGTGCAAGCATTGAAAGGGGTATAGAAGAATGCTCACCAGTTTGTTAACCTTAGTTACCTGGTGCATGTGAGGATAATAAGACTGTCATAAATATGAAGAAAGTATCCACATTGAGCCAAAGTGTATGACATTTCTATAAAAATTGATCATGTTTATAATATATTACTAAAACTATGTATGAACAACTAGTCACCAAAATATCTCAAGCAATAGATGAGTTACTAGCTTTTTTTTCTCCCTAGCAACACGAAACATTCCTACCTAATGGAGATCGTGCCGGCTTCTTAATAGGTGATGGTGCTGGTGTAGGAAAAGGAAGGACAATAGCAGGGATCATCTATGAGAACTATTTGTTGAGTAGAAAAAGAGCTTTGTGGTAAGTGCTGAAGACTTGTGAAGCTTTCATTTGTGAACAATTCAGCATGTGGGGATGAATTTTATTGAGTAGGTTGGTGTATTTGTTTTTAAAGTATTAAGCCTAGTTTCCTTCCTAAATACTGCTAGAATGATCGAATTTGTATTTAATCTGTGCATTTTTTTTTTGTGGCAGGTTTAGTGTTTCAAATGATTTAAAGTATGATGCTGAAAGAGATTTGAGGGATATTGGAGCAAAAAACATTTTGGTCCATTCATTAAATAAGGTACAGAAGTTTTCTGTTCAGTTGAATAAATACTGAAATGTCTATAAGATGGGGATAATAGTTTCTACTTGATATGGTTGTTAGGAAGATTAAATGAGTTATTTCATAGAAAGCATAGTGCGCATTAGCACTATAGTAGGTTTCTGGATTACCATGTGTCAAATACTATACTAGGTAGCATTATGGAGTGGCAGACAGTAGGTCTCTGTAAGTTAGTTTGATGTTACTTTGCTCATCAGTGACTTTTTTGGGTGATTGTTACTGAGTGAATTGGTAGGTAAAGTACTGTCTTGAATGACTACCACCAGTTCAAAACTAAAAGTATGTAACTGGTATCTAGAAATACTTTTGATTTCTGAGTTCGTGTAATTGAAGAAGGGCACGTTGACTATTAAATCATAATTCTTTATATATCCCTCAGAACGAACTTACAGTGCTTTGCATGTAGTAACTGCTCAATAAATATTTGTGATGTGAATATTGTAACTTGTACAGGAGTTTGGTTTGTAATCTTTTTATTGGTGAGATTTTTTTGAAACTTCATTGAAAATTGGGTCATGATACCACAAACTTCTTCATATACATAAATGTGGATGACTGTGTATATGTATGTACACACATGTATGAGAAATTTTGTGTATCCTCTTAGGAGGTCCTTTGACTTCCCTAACCCATCATGGACCCACTAGTTTCTTGATGTAGAATTTGGGTGGATAAATGTTTCAGGAAGAAAAATACTGTTTTTCTCTTTTCTTTTTTAGTTCAAATATGGGAAAATTTCTTCAAAACATAATGGGAGCGTGAAAAAGGGTGTTATTTTTGCTACCTATTCTTCCCTTATTGGTGAAAGTCAGTCTGGTGGTAAATATAAAACTAGGTTAAAACAACTTCTACATTGGTGTGGTGATGACTTCGATGGAGTTGTATCCTTTGCAGCAAAATGCTTTTATGTTGTTTAATGACACAAAAGTGAATCAATGTAAAAAAACATTTGGGAAACAGGAATCCTAAGATTAAATAAACAGTTGTGGATATTGAAGGTTTAATGATTACAGATGCCAGGGGGGTTGGTTCTATTTTATAACTGTCATATTTCAGTTCCTGGCTTAGGAAAATGTTAATAGGTGTGAGAAATGCTGAATACCGTATTCCACCCCTGGGGTGTCATGTTGCACATTTATATAGTAAAGTATATGAGAAGACTAAGGGAAAGAAAACTGTTAACTTAATGCTTTCCAAACTCATTTGATCACTGCCTACTTTTCACTAGTCTTCATGAAGGACAACAGGTTTTGAAATGCTAAATTGGTTACCAGTTGTGCTTCTGCTTAGAGGATTTGCCAAGATTACCTGTGTGCTGGATGTTTCTTGCTGCAGTGGATCCTTTCTTGTGTTTTAATTAAGAAATGTCCAGTTCAGATAAATACCAAATGCAGTGGATGCCTCTAAGACTTGAGAGGGAGAGGGGAAAATCAAGGAGAGGCACATAGAGGGCTTCATTTATGTTTGTTCTCTTACAGAAAAAGAAAACAAGCTAAACCAAATACGGGAAAATGTTAAGGTTAGATAAAGCAGCATATTAGATACGTGTGTGTTGTTTAAAAAAGTTAACGTTCAGGGGCTTATCAACAGCATCCCTTTCCCTAATAACCTTGAATTTTGCCCCAAGGCCACCACCTCAGGAATCTTGGATGTTTCCCAGGGCCTCAGGCAAGTAAAGATGAATTCTTCCTGAAAAATTGGAGACCCTTGCTACCTATGTCCTTTGTTCCTTAATTCATTCCTTACAGATAGTATTTGATGAATGTCATAAAGCAAAAAATTTATGTCCTGTTGGCTCTTCAAAGCCAACCAAAACAGGATTAGCAGTTTTAGAGCTTCAGAACAAATTGCCAAAAGCCAGAGTTGTTTATGCTAGTGCCACAGGTGAGTATTTATTTATTTAAAATATATTTGTATAGGTTATTTTCTGAGCTATAGTATGTTTTATTTGTTTTTATTTTTATTTTTAGGTGCTTCTGAACCACGAAACATGGCCTATATGAACCGTCTTGGAATATGGGGTGAGGGAACTCCATTTAGAGAATTCAGTGATTTTATTCAAGCAGTAGAACGGAGGTAATGCAATTTACTGTGTACACTATTTGTTCTCAATTGCAGTCTGAAGATGTGTGGTTGCTAAGACTTCTTCCATGTATATTAAAGCTGTACTATATTTAATGATAGTTACTGTGTGTTTTAATTTTATTCAGAGGTGTTGGTGCCATGGAAATAGTTGCTATGGATATGAAGCTTAGAGGAATGTACATTGCTCGACAGCTAAGCTTTACTGGAGTGACCTTCAAAATTGAGGAAGTTCTTCTTTCTCAGAGCTATGTTAAAATGTATAACAAAGCAGTCAAGCTGGTGAGAATTTTTTTCTTAATTCCTGGCATTTTTAATATATCTGATAATGTTTCTGTTAGTTGTGTCCAGTGTATTGTCTGTCAGCCCATAGGAGTGTACTTCTGTTACAAAACAGCAGTGAAATCACCAGATCCTTACTATCCTAATCCTCCAAGCTTTCTCTTTGTTAAAGTAACTTATTTAAAAAATAGCCATTTATTTCAGTTGCATACTTTTTAAAATCACAGTGTAACTATTTCCTAAAATGACTGCATTTATTTAATAAAAATTCTGGGGCAGTTCTATGTGAGCATTTTAAAAAAACATTTGTGTAAACATTTCCAAGTTAATGAAGATGTTCATTAAATTAACGTTAAATGATATTGCACTTAACACCGTTCTGCTTGAACTCTTCTCAAATATTGGTTGTGCATCTGCAGTGGGTCATTGCCAGAGAGCGATTTCAGCAAGCTGCAGATCTGATTGATGCTGAGCAGCGAATGAAGAAATCCATGTGGGGTCAGTTCTGGTCTGCTCACCAGAGATTTTTCAAATACTTGTGCATAGCATCCAAAGTTAAAAGGGTTGTGCAGCTAGCTCGAGAAGAAATAAAGAATGGAAAAGTAAGTTGGGAAATGCTTTCAGAGATTATTCATTTTTTCGGTTATGTTTTTTAGTCTTTTGGGTTTTGAGGTTTCCTACTTGTAAAGCTCTAAGGAAAGTTCTACAGTATTATTTTAGTGAAACGTTAAAATTATAAAAGCAGTGTCTGTTTATGAAGAATTTAGGTAGCTCAAAAATGTAAAAATAAAACATCACTGTAATTGGCCATTTGTAGGTAAAACGACTTAATCTGTGGATGTATTGCCTTAAGGGTTTTTTTTTTGATGAATACGTATCTACTTAAAGCACAAAGAACTGGGGTAGAGGCTGTAGTCATATCCACCATTATAATCACATTTCCTAGGTTAAGTTTTTTTACACATAGCATGTTTCACTATATGTAGATTTAAAATGATGGCACATGTATAATAATAGGTAATTTTTATTTGAAATCTTCTTTTTAAACTAAATATTTAAAACATGTCATAAGAAGCCACATGCATATAAAAACAAAACAAATCCTTCCATTTGCAATAACATGAATGGAGCTAGAGGGTATTAAGCTCAGTGAAATAAACCAGGCGGAGAAAGACAAGTACCAAATGATTTCACTCATTTGTGGAGTGTAACAACAAAGCAAAACTGAAGGAACAAAACAACAGCAGACTCACAAACTCAAAGAAGGGACTAGTGGCTACCAAAGGGAAGGGTTAGGGAGGGTGGGTAGGGAGGGAGGGAGGGAGAAGGGGGTTAAGGGGTATTATGATTAGCACAGATAATGTAGGTAGGTCACGGGGAAGGCAGTATAGCATGAAAAAGACAAGTAATGATTCTATAGTCTTACTGTGCTGATGGACAGTGATTATAGTACAGTAAGGTTGGGGGGACTTCAGATAATGGGTGAATGTTGAAACCACAATGTTGCTCATAGGAAACCTTCATAAGATTGTATATTAGTGATACATTAATTTAAAAAAACCACATGCATATTTTTATTTTATAGTTAATATATATATTTTTTTCTCCAGTGTGTTGTCATTGGTCTGCAGTCTACAGGAGAAGCTAGAACATTAGAAGCCTTGGAAGAGGGTGGGGGAGAACTGAATGATTTTGTTTCAACTGCCAAGTAATGTTTTTCGTTTTGAGTTTTTACTTAAATCAGTTCAAATGTTAGCATTTCCTGAGGGAAAGGTTTTGGTCCACCTATATCATATTGTAAAACTTTTTTTTTGGTCTTAGTTTTTGCAGTTCTCTGCATATCTATTATAATATATCTATTAGAAACCAATAACAGAAAAGCTAAAATGTAAAGCATTTTGACAAAATTGTGCTCAGTATTTAGACTGGCAAGAAGAGCTTGATTTTTGTTTGTCTTGTACATCTTGGAAGTCTGTGACAGCTTGGATTCTTTTCAGTTTAGTTTTGACTTTGTGTATTAAAAATTATCCATTATTCAGTAAGTATAGCTTGCCCCAATTTAGTGAGCACTAATATAAAAATTGTAAATAGTCATCAAAAAGAGTTTTTAAAAATGATTTAGGCATTGTTTTTCAGTTTGTTTACATACCTGTTGGTTCTAACTCTGGTAATAAAATGAGCAAAATTATCTTTGACAACATACTGTCTCTTGCTGTAAGTAAAATACACACCAAGTGTCAAAGACTTAAGAAAAAATAATGTAAGACATCTATCTTACTGGTTACATGTTCAAGTGATTAATTGAGTTAAAAGATACTATTAAAATTAGTTTCAGCAGTTTTTTAACTTTAATGTTAGCTACTAGGAAATGTAAAATCTGTGCATTTGGCTTGGCTTGTATTATATTTCAGTTGGACAGCCTTGATTGTTAGAATATTAAACTTCTTTTGAGTTGAATTATCAATGCTTCATAAGATTAAAGTATATTTATTTTTAAAAAACATGTTAAGTAAGACTTTATATGTAAATTGCCTTGGAACTGAGCCACTAGTGTCGCTTTTTCTCTCTCCTATAGAGGAGTGTTGCAGTCACTCATTGAAAAACACTTCCCTGCTCCAGATAGGAAAAAACTTTATAGTTTGTTAGGAATCAGTTTGACAACTCCGAGTAACAACAGTTCACCAAGAGATAGTCCGTGTAAAGAAAATAAAATAAAGAAGCGGAAAGGTGGGTACTTTTCTTTAAATAGTGTTAAAAGTACTTATGAATTTGAGCATTTTGAAGGAGCTATATTTTGTGAATGAATTGCCTCCCTTAAATTATCATGTGGTTACATATTTTCACTGTTGCTCATGTAGATTTAAATACACAAGTAACTCCCTGTTCTAAATTAAAAGCTTGAAGAATTTGATGCTAGGCACTTTTGTTAACCACTGGCCATACATGATCTCATTTAACCCACAGAGTATCCATATGAAATTAGGTATTTTTTTCCATTTTATAGGCAAACTGAGGCACAGTAAGAGGATTAGAGGTTAAGGAATTTTCCCAGGTTCACACAGCTAGTGGGTGGTGCCTGGGAACCAAACTCTGGGCCCTCTGTTGTCAAGGGCTGCGTGCATGGGCAGGTGTGCGTGCGTGCATGTGTGTGTTGTGTCTGTGTGGTCTTTTGTGTTAGTTAGCTTCTTGGGCTGTTTTTAAAATGGTGATAACTTTTGTGATAAAATACTGATAATTATAAAGACCATGATGCTGGGTATTACAGTGCCTGACACTTTAACCTTATTTCATCAGTTTTACGAGAAATGTTTTCTTTACATTTTTAATATGCCTGGAAGTGGATTGGTTTTTACAGTGTAATTAATTGACAACATTTTTATTCTAGTGGCACAAAAAGTAATGGTGTATCTTAGAATCAGGGGCATCTTAGAATGGTCAGCTAGATGGTCTCTTGCCTTTCTTCTGTTTTCACCATCTCATTAAAATACACGAACCTTTTAATTTTAAGATTCTTAGTTTTTATTGGCTTGTTGCAGAGACATCTTTTCTAAATATTTAGTGAGATAATTCATATTAGCATTTTGACTTTTTAAAATGAAATTTTACAGATATCTTTAAGTGTTCTATTTTTTTAAGAATTCTATAAACCTCTAATTACCAGGCCTTTTCTTTCAGCCTGATACATAGTTAAATTGTGACAATGCCAGGCATTCATTCTGTTTTATCTCTTTTGTCCTGAATTCATTTTGAAATGTGCACTTGAAGACATTCTTGAGTTTGTACTTACGTATCTAATTTCTTAAGAACAACTGAACATAACCTGATTTCTTATGGGAGGCCAGAAGGTTAGCATGTACTTGTGAATTTTATGTCCATATATATTTAACGTAAATGCTTTTCTACCACAGTTCTTATTCGGATTAACACATGAACAAAATGTAATTTCCTGGATCTTTAGCATAGTTTATTTGGGCTAACACTCTTGTTTGGGGTTTGAGGGTAGGTGAAGAAATAACTCGAGAAGCCAAAAAAGCACGAAAAGTAGGTGGCCTCACTGGTAGCAGTTCTGATGAGAGTGGAAGTGAATCTGATGCCTCTGATAATGAAGAAAGTGACTGTGAGAGCTCTAAAAACCTGAGTTCTGGTGATGATGATGATTTCAATCCATTTAGAGATGAGTCTAGTGAGGATGATGAAGATGGTAAGTTCATCAATGTATTAAATATAAACTAAATGATAGTTAATTCTGTGTCTTTGAAATGGGATATTGTATTAAAACCTTTTCTTTCTGTGCAGTACAAATCATCACATAGATTGTGATGTTTGCTTGGTGGATCGCTCTAAGCTTCCCTGTCTTCTGGAGATTTAGCTCATTTATGTGAGATGATGACATCAATTATGTGTAGTTTTCTTTAACCTCAAACCATGGAGTTTTATCTCATGTTGTATGGATGTCTGGGCCACTGTAGTTGGTTATGATTTATAAATAAGTTTTTGAAAAACAATACAAAAAAAAGTAAAGGATTTTTTTCTGTTGAAGATTCTGAACTTGTTTTAACAAATGGTTTGACACATCTTTGCTTAATTTTCAGATCCCTGGCTAATCAGAAAGGACCATAAGAAAAACAAAGATAAAAAAAAAAAGAAAAGTATAGATCCAGATTCTATTCAAAGTGCCTTATTAGCATCAGGTCTTGGATCAAAGCGACCTAGTTTTTCTTCCACAGCAGTTATTTCGCCTCCTCCTAACAGTGTACCAGGTATCCATGTGGAAGCTTGCTTTGTCTGTGAAATGTACTTTTAGACGAAACAAATATTTAAACTTTGTACTGATTTTTAACATGTTTCTTTCTCTAGCCAACAGTAACACCAACAGTAACAATAGCCTTGTAACAAGTCAGGATGCTGTGGAAAGGGCCCAGCAGATGAAGAAAGATCTGCTTGATAAACTAGAAAAATTAGCTGAAGACCTCCCTCCTAACACCCTGGATGAACTTATTGATGAACTTGGTGGCCCTGAGAACGTTGCTGAGGTAAGTATGCTTGATCAGGGCTGTATATTTTCTTGGGAATTTTTTTTTTTGCCACCTTTAAGCCTTGCAGAAAAAGTGGTATTTTGGGTATCATCTCATAATACTTGTAATTTCTTCTCTTAGATCCAAGAGCTCTTGTTCTACTCTAGTTGTCATCCTAGAGCCAGTGAATTCCTGCCTGTAGTCACTGAGTGTTTGCCCCAAGATACTGATTTCTGTCCCTACACCTGTCACACAGCCTTTGTGATCATTGCCACATGTCTGCTTTCTCCCTGGAGTTTGAACTTTTCAAAGCCAGGGGCAATATTCTCTCAGCTGCTTTGCCGGGTATGGCACCGGCTGCGGTGCACATCAGCTGCTTCACCTGCTTCCAGTTCCCAGGTTTCTGTAATACAGGGGTTCTGTGCCTCCTCTGCACCAGAGTCAAGTACCTTAGTTGTGACCGATACTGTTTGGCTTTACAGATGACTGGCCGCAAGGGGAGGGTTGTAAGCAACGATGATGGAAGCATATCTTATGAATCCAGATCTGAGCTCGATGTCCCTGTGGAGATACTAAATATTACGGAAAAACAAAGATTTATGGATGGAGACAAGGTATGTTTCTCTGGGATGCTTTTCAATAAAAAGAATAATGTCCATACATTGAGATTAATGTTTAGAGATTTTCTTTTAGTATAAATCATGTGTATTGCAAGTTCTGTATTTTTTAATACCTGCACATAACCACCAAATATTTTACACATTTTCATTATTTTCTTATAAGTTGAGTGTAAAAAGTGTTACTTGTATTGTGCACAGAATTGGATGTGAGTCTTAGTAGCTCTGCAGGCTTTTGAAATCTTTAATTGAAATATTAAAATACTGCGTTTTCTCAGGTCATCTCAATGGCACCATATCTNCTTATAAAAGTTTCACAAGAAAAGCAATGTGGTTACTACATTCACCCTTACTGTTGAGCCCCCCCATACCTCATTATAGTCACTGTCCATCAATGTAGTAAGATGCCACAGAGTCCCTACTTGTCTTTTCTGTGCTACACTTTCTTCCCCATGACCCCATAAACACCATGTGCAGTAATCATGATATCCCACAAACCCCCTCCCCTTTGGTAACCTAGTCCCTTCTTGGAGTCTGTGAGTCTGCTACTATTTTGTTCCTTAAGTTTTGCTTCGTTGTTATAGTCCACAAATGAGGGAAATCATTTGGTATTTGTCTTTCTCTGGCTAGATTATTTCACTGAGCATAATACCCTCTAGCCATGTTGTTGCAAAAGGTAGGATTTGTTTTCTTCTTATGGCTGAACAGTATTCCATTGTGTATACGTACCACATCTTCTTTATCCATTCATCTACTGATGGTTCCTTGGTTGCTTCCACATCTTGGCTGTTGTAATTAGTGCTGTGATAAACATAGGGGTGCATATGTCTGTCAAACTGGGCTGCTGCATTCTTAGGGTAAATTCCTAGGAGTGGAATTCCTGGGTCAAATGGTATGTCTCTTTTTAGTTTTTTGAGGAACCTCCATAGTGCTTTCCACAATGGTTGAACTAGTTTACATTCCCACCAGCAGTATAGGAGGGTCCCCTTTCTTCTTATCCTCACCATCATTTGTTGTTCCTAGTCTTTTCGATGTTGGCCATCCTAACTGGTGTGAGGTGATATCTCATTGTGATTTTAATTTGCATTTCTCTGATAATTAGCAATGTGGAACATCTCTTCATGTGCCTGTTGGCCATCTGAATTTCTTTGGAGAAGTGTCTGTCTGTTCATATCCTCTGCTCATTTTTTAATAGGGTTATTTGCCTTTTGGGTGTTGAGGCGTGTGAGTTCTTTATATATTTTGGATGTTAACCCCTTGTCAGATATGTCATTTACAAATACATTCTCCCATACTGTAGGATGCCTTTTTGTTCTGATAGTGTCCTTTGCTGTACAGAAGCTTTTTAGCTTGATATAGTCCCATTTGTTCATTTTTGCTTTTGTTTCCCTTGCCCAGGGAGATGTGTTCAGGAAAAAGTTGCTCATGTTTATATTCAAGAAATTTTTACCTATGTTTTTTTCTAAGAGTTTTATGGTTTCATGACTTACATTCAAGTCTTGATCTATTTTGAGTTTGTGTATGGGGTTAGACAATAATCCAGTTTCATTATCTTGCATGTAGCTGTCCAGTTTTGCCAACACCAGTTCTTGAAGAGGCTGTCATTTCCCCATTGTATGGAGGCTCTTATTACTAAGTCAACCTAATTTTTGAGATTTCCAGATAAGTTCTTCATCTACTTGGAATTGCTATAAAGCATGTACTAATGAGGTTACTACAAAAGAGGGGACCACTTCAGCCTCATTCCTTAATCTAAAAGGGGTGGAATAAAATTTTACTCTTTACCCACGTTTTGCCTTACATTTCAGTGAATTTTTCTGCCTCCGCAACTGCAAAGTAGGTGATAGTTACCACTCTCAAAGTTGTCTTTTAGATATATTTCAAAGCTTATGTTACATTTAATGACTTTAGGTAGAGGTGTGTTAACAGTTATATTCTGTACTCCTTTCATGAATTTAGGCTCATATGTGATTGGGATTATATCAGTTGATACTAGTTTTGGCTGTTAAGTGGCAGAAAATCCAAAATCATACTGACTTGAGCAAGGTAGAAATTCATTTATCCCATGTATAAGTTTGAGTAGCTGGACCAGGACTGGGATGCTCCTTGAAAACTAGGCATCTTCTGTCTTGATCCTTTAATATGTGGGTCTCCATTTCCAAGTTACCTCTATATTTCACAACAGATGTTTCACATTCAGTTCATTTCATCTCTGCATTTTAGCCAGCAGAGAGGAGAAAAGAGGAGGAGAAGGGTATGTTCTCAACTTTCAAGGACATTTCCTGGATGTTGTGTCACCTATAATCTACTGGCTGGCGCATGTCCACACTTAGCTGTAAGAGGGACTGGGAATAGAATCTTGATTCTGGGCAGCTGTGTACCCAGCTAAAACTGGGAGCTTTGATACAGGAAGAAGAGAATTAATACTGGTGGACCACCAGTAGTCTACTTAAGGCTTTATTTAAGGTACCTTTCTCCTTATCTTTGTGCAAAGATGATTTTTTCCCCTTCACATTTGATACAGAATATTGCTATCATCTCAGAAGCTGCCAGCTCTGGTATTTCATTGCAAGCAGATCGGAGAGCTAAAAATCAAAGGCGAAGAGTTCATATGACTTTAGAATTACCCTGGAGTGCTGATAGAGCAATTCAGCAATTTGGTAAGTTCCTGCACAGAATTTCACTTAATAGGTAACTAGGAATCTTTGGGAAAATAGGTGCATATCAAAACCTATAAAGAGTGTTAGACATCTTAAACTTTGACATATATGTAAGTTTTGGAGATTTTTTGGGTATTGCATAAACCTTAAAATACAGATTGCATCATAAATTTATTTCTTACTTGTTTTAAAAAATGTAAAAGATCTGTGGTGGACCTTCATAGTGTTTCTGGCATATTCAAGAACAAGGCTCCTTGGAAGTATCTTCACAAAGACCTTTAGATGTCTGAGGTTCATGTCAGAGCAGCTACCTCTTATTTTATCAACCTCATAGTTGCACTGAGGACACCTTGCTCCTCCCTTTCCTTACATGCTCATGTCTCTGTGACCTAATGATTTAGAAAATAATTTTGGGAGAATCCAGAGCAGCTACACATCAGCAGCATTGTGGTTAATCATACTAGGGTAGCAGTAATAATATGTTTATTATTTCACAGTTCTGTGGCACTTCCTGTCCCTTGGGAGGAGAAATATTGTTTTGAATATGGATGTCAGCATTTTTGATATTGTACCTTTTTGGGAGTTAATACAGTTGTCATTATTAATACAGCTGTAATTATTTCCTCAGTTTTTCCTCTTGTTTTAGGGTATTTGGATACCAGCCTAGTGTTAAATGCTAGGAGATCTCAGAATACTCTGTATCTAGTGAACACAATCAGTTCATTTATTTTTTAATATAATTACAGGACGAACTCACAGGTCAAACCAAGTTACTGCTCCAGAATATGTCTTTCTGATTTCTGAATTGGCAGGAGAACAAAGATTTGCATCTATTGTTGCTAAAAGACTTGAGAGTTTGGTAAGTTTTTGAGTTGCACAGATGGATGCAAAAAATGGTGCATGTTGGGAGAATGTATTTGTAAATGACATATCTGACAAGGGGTTAATGTGCAGAATATATAAAGAACTCACATGCCTCAACACTCAAAAAGCAAATAACCCTATTAAAAAATGGGTGGAGGATATGAACAGACACTTCTCCAAGGAAGAAGTTCAGATGGCCAACAGGCACATGAAAAGATGCTCCACATCGCTAATCATCAGAGAAATGCAAATTAAAACCACACACCAGTTAGTATGACCACCATCCAAAAGACAAACAACAACAAATGTTGGTGAGAATGCAGAGAAAGGGGAACCCTCCTATACTGCTGCTGGGAATGTAAACTAGTTCAACCATTGTGGAAAGCAGTATGGAGGTTCCTCAAAAAACTCAAAATAGAAATACCATTTGACCTAGGAATTCCACTCCTAGGAATTTACCCTAAGAATGCAGGATCCCAGATTCGAAAAAACATGTACCCCTATGTTTATCGCAGCACTATTTACAATAGCCAAGAAATGGAAGCAACTTAAGTGTCCATCAGTAGATGAATGGATAAAGAAATGTGGTACATATACACAATGGAAAATTACTTAGCCATAAGAAGAAAACAAATCCTACCATTTGCAACAACATGGATAGAGCTAGAGGGTATTATGCTCAGTGAAATCAGCCAGGTGGAGAAAGACAAGTACCACATGATTTCACTCATTTGTGGAGTATAAGAATAAAGAAAAAACTGAAGGAACCAAAACAGCAGCAGACTCACAGAACCCAAGAATGGACTAACAGTTACCAAAGGGAAAGGGACTGGGGAGGATGGGTGGGAAGGGAGGAAGAAGAGGAATTAGGGGCATTATGATTAGCATACGTAACATAGTGGGTGGGGCACAGGTTAGGAAGTATAGCACAGAGAAGACAAGTAGTGACTCCATATCATCTTACTATGCTGATGGACAGTGAACTGTAATAGGGTTTTTGGTGGGGACTTGATAATGAGGAAAATCTAGTAACTACAGTGTTGCTCATGTGATTGTATATTATTAAGGATACCAAAAAAATAAAATAAAATAATGGTGCATGTTACTTACCTGTGTTCTGTGCCCTGATTGAAAATTTTGTTTTGACAGGGGGCTCTTACACATGGTGACAGAAGAGCAACAGAATCTAGAGATTTGAGCAGGTTCAACTTTGATAATAAGGTACGTTTTCAGCTTTCAGTATCTGAAAACTTGAGCTAGTGTAGGTTGTCTGTAGTGAACAAAAAGGGAAAGTGGCTACTATGTACAATTTAAACTGCCCCCTATGGTTTTTCTGTGAAATCATGGCTTCCTGTTAGACACAGGTTTTCATGTGTTGGATCTTTGGGGATCAACTCTACAGTATAATCTTTTCATTCCTTTTGAGAAATAGGAATATAATAAATACTTGTGAGTGAACACTTGTAAGTTCCTAAAAGGAAAAACAGTTATTTATTAAACATCCAGTGTGCAAGGGTGTGAACTAGGCCTTGAGTAGTATAAAATACATTATAACTGATTCCCGCTTTTTTTGAGTATTTGGTACAATAATGGTTTTTATAGTGTTCAGTTGGTCACGTGATTGAAGGGTATCCAAACACTGAATGAAACTTGTTTTTTATTGCAGTATGGAAGAAATGCTTTAGAAATTGTCATGAAATCCATTGTAAACCTAGATTCACCTATGGTATCACCACCTCCGGACTATCCTGGAGAATTCTTTAAAGGTAACTTTTGAAAATAATCACAGCAAACAAAGGAAATTGAGTATTGAGAAGGAACACCAAAACCTATTGTAATATTTGCTGTTTTTACATTTTTTGGATGTAAATTTTAAAAATTTAGCAGTTGAAGTCTTGCCAGACTCCTAAGTTGACCTCCTTTAATAAGCAGATTCACTAAATTTTTTTCAAATGAAATGCTTTTGCTCCTGACATTTTATTGCATGTTAATACTAGATTAATAGAGGCAAGTGGTTGCTTGGTTAATTTAAAATCACTATGCCAAATAGTTTTTAAAATTTAATCTTAAAGTATCTAGGTAAATAATTTGTGGAAGTTGATAGGGTGTGTAGATAAAAACAAAATTGGCCATGTATTATATTAAAAATTGTTAAAATTGAATGGTGGGTATGTGTGTGGGTCATAGAATATTCTTTTTACATTTGTGCATTTGGAAAACTTCCATATTAATAGAAAGATGAGTGCTAGGTAGTCCTGTAGAGATTACTAGGCCCATCTTGAAAATCTGTACAACAGATTTTACTCCATAAATGTTAAGGAGGTTACATGGTTTTAGCAGTTTAGGAAACTGTGATAATATTTTGGAAAACAGATGTTAGATATCTGAAATACTATTCATTGTAGAATTAGAGTTTTTCACTAGAAAGTACTTTACAATTGAACTAGATTAGTGTTTAGTGTTCATAACAGTCCATATTTACCCACCTGGCAGGGGTCCTTATTATAATCACTGATGGCATTTTACAAAAGAGCACAGTCAAGCCTTGGCCCTGTTCTTTTTCTCCCCTTGCCTTTCCCTTCCCTTCTTCTCTCTCTTTTTTTTTTGGGTCATTGATGGGAGTGTCAGAAATGACTCCCCGATTTATTTCTAGTTTTTAAAAATTCCATGTTACTTATTCATTATAAATAATGAAAAGAATCTGCAAGTATGAGTCAGTATCTCCTCTTAAGCCCTACCTTCCAGTCTCAACCTGTGGAAGTCACAGGTGTCGACAGTCTGAGCAGAGTGTGGCCTTCCACATCTTCTCTCCATGTTTATCTAAGCACAGCTTTTCTTTTAAATGTCATTGATAACTGTTTGAAATGTTCTTTTCTCAATACATCACAGGCATCACAAGACAGTAGCTATAGTACTAACATTTTTAGCAGTTGCATAATATTCTGCAGCTAGTTTATATAATTGTTTCTTGAGTCATTCCCTTCCTTATATTCAGATTTTTTTCCCCCATCGCCAACAGTGGTAAAATTACAGTTATCCTTCCAGACAGGTGATTTCCCTCCAGAGGATGGGTTTCCAAAAGGAGGATTTTTGCAGTGTAGATCTTTGGCTACACAGTTGTTACTCACAGAATCTCAACATTGTTTTGAGCATGTAGCCCGAGTACTAGCCGATTAAATACATGTGTAAATAGGATGTAATCATGCTTCCTATTGACACTTTTCTCTTACACCCTTATTGTGTAAGTCTAGGTTTGAACCTGGACCACTAGTATTTTTTTACAAGCTCCAGAAACTGTCCTCATAGTAACACAGTTCAGAACATGTTGACTGTTAATACATGCTGGTTACCTTTTGCATCACCTTGTCAATACTCATAGGTAACATTTGGGAAGGAAGCATGATTACATCCTATTTACACATTTAACAGCTAGTACTCTGCTATATGTTCAGGATTGTTTAGATTCTGTGGGCAACAGCTGTGTAGACAAAGATGTTCACTGCTTAATATTGCTGTTAGATAAGATATTTTAATTAAATAATAAAATACCATGTGAAGTTTGAGTACTGTAGGATTTTGGAGTGCCTTAAAGTCTTTGGGGACTGTGGGCTCCATTTTAGTTAATAGGGACTATGGAAGATACGCTGGGTCTTAATCCTAGAACTTGATGTCATCTAATTAGGTAACAGCTCATTGAGTCATTTGACAAATTTATTTTTCTTACAGATGTTCGACAGGGACTGATAGGAGTTGGTCTAATAAATGTAGAGGATCGCTCAGGAATTCTTACTCTAGATAAAGGTAATAGTATTAGTTTTGTATATCTACATAACTGTTGCTGTATCATTAAAGCTCATTTTGTTCATGTGAAGGGAAAGTTTCAAGTCTGTAGTTTTCAATCCCTGTTACTAAGTGCTCTGCTCACAAAGCACTGAGTAGTTTTTGCTACTGTGGTTATTCCAAGAGATTAGAGCTCTATTCTGTCCATATAGCAGCAGTTTTCAAACCAGGTTGCATATATGATCAACTGTCTAGCTTTCAGAAAATACCTGAAGTCAGGGCTGAAGCCCAGACATTGGTAATTTTTTAAAAACTCAAAGGTGTTCTAATTGTGCAGCCCGAGTTGAGCTTCACTGACTTAACAGCCCTTACGGCCTTACAAGTTAAGAATTAATGTTGGAGAGCAAACATTCTCATGTGCTAAATTGTGTTTATACTTTCAGTAGTTGAAGTTGAAGATGCAAAAATTCAATTTGGCAAATATCTTGAGCATGTGATATCCTCGTGCTAATTGATAGAGGTAGAAATGGTCATATAGCTCTGTTCTGGGCACCGTGCAAGGGTTGTGAGGGAAGGCTTTAGAGGAGAAAGTGAGACCTGACTAAACTTTGATGAATATATTTTAAATTGCCATTTGAATACATAAAATCTTTTGTGTAATCTTGTCATTGTAGATTATAACAACATAGGGAAATTCTTAAATAGAATTTTGGGCATGGAAGTGCATCAACAGAACGCGTTATTCCAGTATTTTGCAGACACACTTACAGCAGTTGTTCAAAATGCCAAAAAAAATGGAAGATATGATATGGGAATCTTAGGTAAGTCAGGAAAAATTTTTAAAACATCCTGTATATTACTGATAAAATGCTCTTTTTACACTTAAATGTTGCTTTTCTTGTTCAAGATCTTGGTTCTGGAGATGAAAAAGTGAGGAAAAGTGATGTTAAGAAGTTTCTGACGCCAGGATATTCAACCTCTGGCCATGTAGAGTTATATACTGTAAGCTTGGAAAACATGCACATTCAAGTATAATGTCAGTTCTGTGGTAGCCACCCAGAGAAGTGAGTTTGATTTGAATTATTTCTTTTACAGATTAGTGTAGAGAGGGGAATGTCGTGGGAGGAAGCTACCAAGATTTGGGCTGAACTGTTGGGACCAGATGATGGCTTTTACTTGTCATTGCAAGTAAGACTTATTTCTTTGAAATGTTTACTGTTCAGATATATAATACATTTTCATTGCCTGCATTGTAATTATCTGTTTGCTTTGTGCCAGTTTTACAATTGTATTTTTCCTCTGTTTTAATGATTCATCATTGTAATTATGGGTTTGTTCATTGTATACATTTTTATTTAATACATTTTGAGAGATGTTACTAAGTGCAACTTTTTGAATTACTACATATTCTTAGCAAATCAAACCTGGTCTTTAATATATAGTGACCTTTAGTCCTAATAATGCTTTATGCCCCTTAAAGATTCATTTTTCCATTGTTCTGTAACTACATTCTTTTGTTTAGTATGCCTGTGGACACACTGAGGAGGGGGGAAATGTGTGTGTGGGGGGTGCATGCATACATACTTTCATACATGATACAGTGTCTTAAATTCATGTTTATTTGTCCTGTTCAAGACTGCAGAATTTTTATCTCGCCTCTTCTTTGATATTTATCTAGTTGTTCTTCTATACTAATGACCCTTGTTCTCCAGAGCACACAAGGTGATGAAATATCGAGTGATACTATACCCCGATACTCCTGAAAATAATTTAAAAATAACTTCTTTGGTCATCTGCTTCCCTCATTTTCCCATTTTAAAAAATAGCTGTGAACATGGATGGAGCTAGAGGGTATTATGCTCAGTGAAATAAGCCAGGCCAGGCGGAGAAAAACAAGTACCAAATGATTTCTCTCATATGTGGAGTATAAGAACAAAGGAAAACTGAAGGAACAAAACAGCAGCAGAATCACAGAACACAAGAATGGACTAACAGTTACCAAAGGGAAAGGGACTGGGGAGGATGGGTGGGAAGGGAGGGATAAGGGCAGGGAAAAAGAAAGGGGGCATTACGATTAGCATGTATATTGGGGGGCACAGGGAGGGCTGTGCAACACAGAGAAGACAAGTAGTGATTTTACAGCATCTTACTATGCAGATGGACAGTGACTGTGAAGGGGTATGTGGGGGGTACTTGGTGAAGGGGGGAGCCTACTAAACATAATGTTCTTCATGTAATTGTAGATTAATGATACCAAAATTTCAAAAATGAAATAAATAAATAAGAGGTCAAGTGCAAAAATAATAATAAAAAGAAAATAAAATGTGTGAAGAGGAAAAAAAATAGTTGTGCTGTTTCAGGGTTGTTAGTATATGTAAATTGTATCACATGCTCTTCTTTTAATCTTTATGTAATCATAGCCTTACAGGTAATTAGTTTATATTTAAAGCACCACCACTCACTGTCCTTAGGTTATCTCTAGTCATTTTGTTGTCTAAAGTAGTAGATTCCTCAAGAAGGACTTATGGTGGGAACATTATTCCCTGAGTTCTTCTTACATGCCTCTAAGTTTGTGCCTTTGTACTTCAAAGACAGTTTTACCAGATAGGAATTATATAGTTCACATTTTCTTTCCTTTAATCTTAAATATGCTACTGCTGATCCTTCTGAGGTAAAGAATTGCTGTCATAGTTTGATGGTGCTCTAATTTTCTTTTGCTTTTTAATTTAGTCCTTTTTTACTACATGTCCAAAGGATCATCTCTTTAAAGTTCGCTAATTTTATTAGACTATATTCTGGTATTAGTCATTTTTGATCAGTATTCTCAGGTACGTGATATACTCTTTAAATATGTTTTTATTTCAGATATTTTTATTTCAGAGTTTTCTGAATTATTTTTATTTGTAGAAGTTTTTAGTATTCTGTTTACTTGAATTTCTCCTTTACCAGGACATGTCTATCATATATTACATCTTTGCCTGGCTTAACTCTTTGTTATTTTCTCTGACTTCTTTTTCTCTCTTCCTTCATTATCCTCAAATGGCCGCAGGTGGCCCTAGAAAGGGGTTCCAGGAAAGTGTAGCTGTTTGTCTTCAAACCTCCACAACAAATAAACAGAGATACATCATAGTGTGTTTAACATATGTTAACACTTGGAAAACCATGTCAGAGTCACTTCTGTTTCCACTGTGCTTTTTTTTTAATTTTAATGATTAAAGTTATTATACATACAATTAAAAGAATATGTAAAGATATAATTATACTGAATTAACTTGACCCTATAACAACAGATCACACTGTTAACATGCTTTAAACATAGTCCTCTAAGTACGGCAGTCCCCCCATATCCATGGAGGATACATTCCAGACCCTCAGTGGGTGCCTGAAAGCAGGGATAGTGCTGAACCCAAGATATACTATGTTTCTTCCTATACGTAAATACTTAAGATAAAAATTTAATTTGTAAATTAGGCACAGTAAGATTAACAATAGTAGCTAATAATAAAATAGAATTATAACAATACACTGTAATAAAAGCATGAATTATATGTGTTGTTTGTCTCAAAATATCCTACCCTTCTTCTTGTGATGATGTGAGATGACAAAATGCCTGTGTGCTGAGATAAAGTGAGGGGAATGATGTAGGCACAGTGCCGTAGCGCTGGCTGCTATTGACCTGATAATGTATCAGAAGGAGCATCATCTGTTTGCAGACAGACAGTTGACGTCAGGGAATTGAAACCTCTGAAAATAAAACTGCAGCTAAGGGGAACTGCTGTATAATGAGTTTATTGTTTCATATCAACTGATAAAAATTTTCAAGTGTAACTTTCACCTCAACCATTGTTTTGTAGATTTTGCAGTAATTACATGAACAATATTTCAAACAATTTGAATAACTAAAAGAAGGGGGATCTTTAATAGCCATGAAAAGTAAAATTAAGTCTTTTCCTTTTATCAGTTTAAGAATTATCTTAACATAAAATGTTTGAAGGATTAATTTTGTAGAGGAGCTGGGAAAATATCTCTACTTTGAAACTATCTTTTCCTTCAGTTTTGCTCCAGAGTTATTGCTTGGAAGTTGTTCATTATTCTTTAAAGGAGATGTTAATTTTCTACTCTTATTTTGCCTTTAGTTAAGTGGGGCTTTTTATAACTCCTTCGTCTTAGGATTTCTGTCAGTAAACTTTTTAAAAAATGGGAAAAAAAATCTAAGTTTCATCATTTGATGCATCTTTTTCTTCCACTTCTGCATACATATTTATTTATTATTCAGCATTTGGTCTTCATCCAGTTCTTAGCTTTACTGTTCGTAGATGAGTTTGTCCCATGAGGTCTCATTTTCTCCTTTCAGTAGCCATGGGTTTGGTAGATCTGGTGGATTAGACAAATCAGAGAACTGTTGGTGACCAAAATCATTATTTTGGAGGTTATGTTTTATTGTAACCCAAAGGAGAACATTGTTTTACAATGTTGTTATGAACATTGTAAACAATGTTTGTTATGAAAAACTTTAAAGATAAAGTAGAGGTGAAAGAACTGATCCAGGAACACCCTTCCTGCCCACTGCTAGATTCCTTCCTCAGAAACCTCTGAGGTTCTCTGGTCTATGAGTACAGGTACATGGACTAGCTTTAAAGCTTACTCAAGACAGTTTTCTCAGCAATGACTTCGCCCTCAACTTCTGTCTTCAGCCTACCTCAGAATTAAGGTCTGAATCTCTTCATTTGACTAAGACCTTGTACAACTTGGTTATACAAGCAGTTGTCACCCTTGTTTACAGTTATGTACTCATGTATTCATGTACTTAATTGGCATTACAGTCTTCCAAGAATTGTATCTGCTGATGTGATAGTACAAAAAAAGTGCCTTAAAATGTGTAGTATTGAATCACTGTTTTCCCACCTTTTTTTAAATAGATAAGGAACAACAAGAAAACTGCCATTTTAGTTAAAGAAGTGAACCCTAAGAAGAAGCTTTTCTTAGTTTACAGACCAAATACTGGGAAACAGCTTAAATTAGAAACTTATGCTGATCTAAAGAAGAAGTATAAAAAGGTACTTTCTCATTTGTAAATCAACACTCTCTCTGTGCTTATTTTATAAAAACACTGAAACTGTGTTTAGGAGAGCTTTGTGTCTCTATATAAATTTTTCTGTCAATTTTTCCTATTTGATTACTGAAAAAATATTTTTCAGAACAAATTTTAACCACATTTTGGTACAGTAATATCCAAGTGTTGATGTTGTCAACCATTAAGAAACTTGAAAGATGATTGTTCGAAACAGCTGTGTTGTCAGAAAAGGTAGTTTCCAATGCTAGCTACAAAAACTACAATTGTTTAAATAAAGGAAAGTTGTTCAAGACTGAAATTTCTTCCCACCAACTCTTAGTTTTATTGTAAACTGCTATGTTTAATTTTGCCTGATTTCTAGAAAAATTGTGACTTTTTAAAAATATTACTCCTACTATTTTATAGTAGTGTCACATTACTATTCTTCCTGGCCATTTTTTTTGAAAAGAATAATAATTAAACTAGCTGTTTGAAGGATTCACTACATAGGAGGAACCTCATGGCAGGACTTGGTGAATGGCTTCCAAATGGAACCAGTAGCAAGGGCTAGGTTTTCACTATAGATACGGTTTTAAGTAGGCTTTAGAGACCAGATCAGGCAGCCAGTTCGTTGCAAACTATACTGATTCAGTGGAATTTTTGTCATATTTTCACAGGTAGCCTCAGATGATGCCTTGGTCCACTGGTTAGATCAGTATAATTCGTCTGCAGATACTTGTACTCATGCTTATTGGTTAGTAGTTTCATGTTTCTCACCCTATTTTCCGAAGTGTATTTAAGATTGAAACACGCTTTCACTCTAGCTCTTTGTCCCTAAAAGTACTTTATCCCTGTAAATATCTGAACAAATGATCTATTGTTGAATGTCAGTACTATGTATTAAATTCATCTTGAATTAATACTTGGAAGACATTTTTATTGATGAATTACAAAAATAAATTTAACAGTAAAATATATCTTCTTTTTTTCATTTTTTAAAAAAATTCACATAGTTTCATTTTTTTGTTTGTGGAGGCCTTTGCCACCTACCTGATTTGAAACATATATTAGTAGTTTAATGCTATAAAAATAACTGGAAGAGCTTTTTATAAGTTAGCGTTAATACAGTAAGCTAATAGATATTAAAATGACAAATGCTTAAATAGATATCAAAGCCAGTAAATCAGCCCTTTTATAGGGATTCAGGCCCCAGAAATAACTAATTTTAACAATCAGAAATAGTACCTTAAATTGGATAGGATAATCCAGTTTGTCAAAAAGGGGTTGTAATCTGAGAAACTCAGGTAATGCTAGGACATTTGCCATTTGAAATCTGGGTAGGCCTTGTAAGCCCTGTATGTGTGTATGTATATACATAGTATTTTTTCCCCCCATCTATCCTAGGCGTGGCAATTGCAAAAAAGCAAGCTTGGGACTAGTTTGTGAAATAGGTCTCCTAAAAGGGGTTGTAATCTGAGAAACTCAGGTAATGCTAGGACATTTGCCATTTGAAATCTGGGTAGGCCTTGTAAGCCCTGTATGTGTGTATGTATATACATAGTATTTTTTCCCCCCATCTATCCTAGGCGTGGCAATTGCAAAAAAGCAAGCTTGGGACTAGTTTGTGAAATAGGTCTCCGTTGCCGCACATATTATGTATTATGTGGCTCAGTACTGAGTGTCTGGACAAAAGTCGAGGGTGTTCTAGCATCTGTCAGTGGCACAAATGTGAAAATGCAGATAGTTCGGCTAAGAACAGAGGATGGACAGCGGATTGTAGGTGAGTCGAATTTTTTTGGTTTGAGCTGTGAGAACATGTCAGGACCCTCTGTTTCTCTTATTTTGCCTGTAACATCTTAGAATCTTAGCAGCTCTTCCAGTACTTATGAGGCATAATATTAAGTGTAATGGCATAGAGCTTGCTTTGTGTGTTCTTAAAAGGTTGAACAGAAAAGGTAAGCCTTTGAATGGATACTTGATTCTGACTGAAGTTGTGATATGGTGGTTCACTTTATGTTGCCTTTGCTCCCCTTCCTCACCATTGCCATCTGCAGTCTCCTTGGCATGAAGACTAAGCTTAACCTCTTGCCTGGGATTCTTTGAAGTCTACTATTTTAATTCATTGAGCCACACTGAGACTGTGGAACTCAAAGCCACGGTGCACTGAGGTTGGACTAGAGTCCTGCAGGAAACAAGGGCAGATCAGGCTAGGTGTTACCACCATTTGCTCACTTAGAGGCATCCCAGGAATCCATCCAGCAATTGCTGTTTCCCTGTCGTGTATCTTAGTTTCATTTGCAGCAACCTTCCACTATATCATGGGTTGCAGTGTGGCAACCTGTGGGCCAAAGTCAGTCCATGAACATTTTTGGATCCTTAAGTATTTTGGTTGTTTCAAATTGCCATTTGAATTAGTTGCCAACACTTAAAAATCAAAAGCCTGGGTTTCTGTCTTCTTAAAACACACATACACTAGCTTCTCTGGAACACTAAGCCCCTATTCCCACAGGAGAGGAATTAAGAGTTCTCCTACCCAAGGCGTGTACCCTCCAGTTTCCCACCATCTTCACTGTTCCCAAACTGCTTCCTTTAAGCATTTGAACTTGTCTGAACCACTGTTCTGTAGTTTTTTTGGTACATTGTTAAATGCCAGAGAAGGTGGTGTTTGCATGTGTGTGGAACTGCATAGATAATAAAGTAAAAGGATAGTATACTTGCCCACTGATACTGCTGCACTGAGGAGGTGGTGTTTGTGTGGAATCTTGTTGTTCATTACACTTAATATTATGCCTCATTTGGAATTTGTTGTACATCTGTAAAATACAGTATGTATGGTTTCCCAAAGATAACCCTTATAAATTCTTGTTTCTAATTGCAGGTTTGATCATTCCTGCAAATTGTGTGTCTCCTCTTGTAAATCTCCTGTCAACTTCAGACCAGTCTCAGCAGCTCGCGGTCCAACAGAAACAGCTCTGGCAGCAGCGCCACCCACAGAGCATCGCCAGCTTGAGCAGTGCATAGGAGCAAACAGGTTTCAACATGGATGTATCTGAAATGCTGTTGAAGCATATCATTTGCATAAAAATCAGGGACAGTTTCCAAAGAATTATAATTTTTTTCAGTTGTGCTCTCTAGTTAATTTTTTGGGAATAAGGACAAACCTGGAATCAATAGCAAAACTGAAAATCAGCAGTGCTGACAGTGGTACATGTCTTTCCCTTTTGCTTTTCCCATGGTACTTCCCACACACGTTTACTTTGGGTGAGCAGAGGGGTTATGTGCGCGTGCGTGCGTGTCAGTTTGTCTGTCTGTGAGTTTGTTAATGACTATGAACCACAATCGGTTTAAAAATGCTTGGAACTTCCCAAACTGGCTTTACTTTTATGTTATACAGTGCTCAGGGTTAACGCAGTACATCCATGCAGTTGCTGTGGGAATTATCCCCAGATGCATGTGTTTTGAGTCTATAAATATAGAATATATATATTGGTTTCTTTTCCAACTTATTATAACAATAGGTTTATTAAAGCATGAGATGAAAGTTTGCATATCATGCATTCAGGTTCTTTTCTAGTTTTTTTTCTGACAGTGCATGTCTTTGACAGCATGCGTAAACAAGATTAACACAGAACTCAAGTAACAGAGAGAAACATTTGTAGGTGTACAGCATTGGTTATTGCATTTTTATAGTGTTTATACCTGGGTATTGCTTCTCACCCTGCGAGAACCACCCCCCCATTCTCCATGTACCAGGTTTCTTGTCAAGGTAATGAGTACATACATTTTTTTGTGGTAAATTAAAAGTTAATTTTAATGTATTAATAGTATACCTAATGTGTGCTGCAAAAAATGGCTACTTCGGACGAAAAGAATTTTAATGTAAAGGAATTGAATTTCATAGTTTTAGAAAGTACAAATTGGCTTCCATCTTGAAAACAATCTTTTTTAATTTCATTCTTTTGATTTGCTTTGTCACTCATAAAAAAGGAAACCATACTTGAGTTGTAAAGTAAACAATGAGGAAACACTTGAGGCTTCTGCTGTATGTTTATTTCTTGTTATTGTTGTTACCCAGTAACTTGAATATTGTTTAATGTGTTGTAAGACATGTAGAGTTTATCTGAAGCTGTTAAAAATGGTAATGTACAAATGTGAATAGACACTTATCTATAATATGGGCAAGTTTTGTTTCGCCTATAATAGATGTTTATAAAAACAAGTGAGGGGACAATTGGTCGTTTTGTTTCCTTTTCTTTCTTTCCTTTTGCTTGCACAGGTTGCACTATTGAAAAATTGAGATTGTATAAACCTGGTTAAAAGCTGCAAGATACCACAATCTTGTAGTTGTCAAATAAAAAGTTATTATACTAACCAGAAGTGGACTCTTGTTTAGGCCCTCACCACCTTCAGAAGTAGTCTGTGACGGGGATTCTGTAGAACTTGTATGTTGCTCAGCATTCCAGGTAGGTAGCCTTATGTTTTGGTTTAAAACCTACCCCTCAAAATTTAGGATGTTAAGGGGTAAAATAACAGAACTTTAGGATGTTTCTCAAGTTCAGTTGTTCTCCTTTGTTACTTCTTAAACTTGCAGAATCAGGTGAGATGTCAGATAAGTGATGGAAAGTTAGGGTTTTCGTACTCTTGTATTTAAACTGGAGTTGGTTAAGTCAAGTTTACCGTAAGTTTCCTTTGGGTTTATTTATTCTTGATGCCAAAAAGAACAAGTTGAGAATAATTCTGTTCTTTGGCACATTGCCTAGTGGATGCAACTTTTATTCTCAGTCTTTCCCTGTATCTCAGGCAACGATCCATATGAATATCACCAGTGTTTCCCGTTAGGGCCTCTAGACCCGACTGGCAGCCAAGGGCAGAATTGTCCCACCTGCAGCACAACTTTCATGTTAGTTCTCCTCTTTTAAACCAGGAGCCCAGTCAGCTTCCATCAGTCTACCAAGGTGAGATGGAGTTCAGCCAATTTGTTGGCCAACTTGCCGTTTTTGTGTTGGGGGGGAGTTGAGTAAAGGTCCAAAAATAAAGCTTCTGATAACTCTCATAGCTCTCAGAAAGGCAAGCAGTGTAAATGGGTAGGAACTGAGGTGCCACATGCCTGTGCCCATTGTGGTTGCTGTGCATGTTGAGCAGCCAAGGCCTGCTGCCCATCCCCCTCTATAGAGGTGTACATGAGACCTTTACACTGTGCCCTTATCCAAGTTCAGGTTGGCCAACATGGGAAACCTAGCATTCAAGGCCCTCCTCTATCAAAAAACCCCAGGAATCTTAACAGCAGCTAACTTCTGTAAAACAGGTCCGTGTATTTCAGGATCTGAATGCTGTATCTGAACCCAAGGGCCCTGTTGAACCTGACTACAACGTGAGTCCATTTGGCCTCTGCAATGCCTTTTCTCCCTTTCTTTAGCAATATGGCTCGAGCACAAAGATTTGATTATAAATCATGTTAGTGGTTAAGATTTTATAGTGTCGATTTTACTGAAAACCACTACCTGAGCTGCTCAGGTGGTATCTTGGAGTAATTAGCAGACCCCTAGTTTAGTAATCTCCATGCCACAAAGTCTCTATCTGCAGTTTAGTGGGATGATCTAGATGTATCAATGTGAGTTCCTCAAGGTATTAACACAGTATTCTTTAAATGCAACTTGATCAAAAAATAAATGTCTTAAGCAATTTTCCCTTTTTGCTGCTAAGTTACAAATACACTCTTTAAAAAAATCTTTTCTTTACATCTGTATGTATTAGCAAGAACCCGCATCCAAAGCATTGTAGTTGTGTGTATTTATTCCATTCCAGTTAATTAGCACTTCAGAAATCTTCTTGAGTTGCAACAATAAACTTTATAGTTTTATTTTGCTTCATCTATAAAGGTAAAAAAAAATTCCATATTTCCAAACTCTAGGGGAATATAATACTTCACAGGCACAACCTTCTGGCCATAGCCCTTGAGGCATTCATTTGCCAGTCTCCGTCTGATGTTTGTAGAGTATCCTCTTACCGTCATGACCAGAAAGGGCACTAGGACAGCCTTTACAGTTGTGTGATGGTAGCCATTCACCTACTTCTTCCGCTTTCTAGTTTAGCATGAAGGGGAAAAAGCAAGAGATTTTCAAGCAGAGAAAAAGCATTTTCCCCTTGAGTCTTTTTATTGGTAAAATATTAAGAGGAAGGTCCCTATCTAAAATACTGTCTTTTAAAAAAATGTTCCTGAATGATCTCTGGTAACTTCTAAGAATGGTGCTTAACAGTTGCTCCTGTTAGGTTGGGTTCCAATGGCAAAGGCAATCACTGTCACCCTGGGCGTTCGTTGGCTTACCTGCCCTGTGTCTGGGGTCTCCCCAGCTAGCACCACACCCATACATGTACTGTGCATGCTTTGCTGCTAGAATGCAGTAGGCTGTGTGTGTGTGGCTACAGCTGTGAGCAAAGTCCATTTGCAAAAATTCCTCATTGGATGCCAGTTGTCTAATTCAAATGTAGTGTCTTTAAGGGCATATAAGTGAAGGAAACAAATATAGATACACACTGCAAGTAATTTTTTTTTGAATACTTGAGGTGAAATCCAAAACTCACCTTCTAATTTTATACTGTATTTACATGTATGTACATAAGTATGTATAGAAAAGTTGAGTTCTTCTGAATTCTGAATGTAAATATTTTTTGTAAATTGGAACCCCCCCACTTATTTTTCCTTTTCCCCTCCTCCCTTCAATCCTATTTATTCTTTTCTTGACTTCCTATATGAGGCATCTTATAATTTTTTTAATGTAGAAAATTATGAAAAACTTTTTAGTTGGATTTTTTCATGTATTTTAGAATTCAGTTATGCATCTTTACTATAGAATTCCTGTTTGTTTTGTGTTAATATTTTTCAATATACTTGATATGTTTTGCATTTTTATTACAAATTTTTACTGTGTGCAATGCATTATATTGGGGGGATGTACTTGAGTGCAATTTCTGATACTGTCATTATATGACTAGTTATTCTTGTTTATGTTGCTCTTTGGAAGCTGTAGTGAGCCTAATGTTTTCACATAAGAAAATTTCTTCCCAACTTTCTTTAAGCTCCTCTAACTTCTTCAGTGCATCTGGGACCTAACTTAACTCTTCAGTAGACACAGCTTGCCCCTACCCGTGCAGTTTTTCGGGCCTGTACCAAGCCCTTCATCTGTGTGGCTCTCTAGCTGAGAGGAAACTTGCAGTTCTGAACTGTTGACCAGTGACCTGCTGCTGCTGCAAATTTTGTGTTCCTTTAAGAAGTCAGGCTCATACTTCTAACCTACAAATAACCAGAAATTTAGTTTGCAATCAGCACAGGAAATCTGTTTTTGCTTCATCTGTTAAGGGTATTTATAGCGGATGGGGAGACTGGCCTGGTACAGCCTGGTGGTCTCCATATTGACAGGTAGTGTTAGGGAATGTCCTTTAAGGAACAGTTGTCCTCCAGAAGGGTGCAACACAACTGCTGTCAAGGCTTCCATGAGCCTTCCGCCCAGGGTGCTGAGGGTAAAACAGGCAGTTAACCATGGAAGGACTGGCCAGCAGGATTCCCTGAGCTACTGTTTGTTCCAGAGTACTTGCTGGTGAGTTGGTCTTGACCAGACGGCTCACCATAAACCTAAGAGCTGAGCTGGGTTAAGGCATTTTAACGATTGGTTTTGCCAGTAGGGAAGACCTAGCAGTGACTCATGAATGGTGCTAGCATTGGGTTTTTACCTACATACTTTGCCCCGTTAAAATATTTCTCTGCAACTTTTAGGAAAAATTGCTGTGAGCATTCCTTGGGTCTTTTTGTTCATGTACATGGTTCATTTCATTTCATTATGATTGAGCTTGGTAGACCTGTTGAAAATTTTAATTGTCTGCATTTAGATAAGTCTTGGAAACCTAATTAATTTGTTATGAATTAGGGCCTCTCAGAGATTAGCGCCAGTGTGAATCCCTGTTCAGATATTCTCCTCCCAGCTTTCTTCCCCTGTGCCCGTGGAGTAGTTGAACTGTGTGGTTTGCAGCAGCAGCTGGCTTAGTGGCCGCTGTGTGGCAGAACAGCTTAAAGGCAACTCGTTCAGTGCAGAGTTCAGTGAGGGATGCAGCCAGAAAAGGGGAGAGGCCATTCTTTCTGATACTGTAATTTGGGCCTCCTGCGGGGCTGAAGGGGATGGCAGTGCCCAGCCCTTAGTGAGAATCACCCTGGCTCTTCCACCTACCTTGCCCTGAGGGCCTTTCTTGCTATGACAGTACTTGTGGCACTGAAGAGGTTAAAGAAGCTTGAGCCTTCTTTCTGACCTCCACTTTCTGGGTCAGAGAGCTTTTTTTCTATGTAGCACATTTCAGTCTCACCGCCATCAGAAAAAATCATCCTGTTCATGGTTTATACTGAACTTGCAAACTACTGATATTATTTTTCAATAACCACTTGTATCTACCATCAACCATGAAAGGTGGGAGGAGGTATGCTGTATCTCTGCAATAAAACTTCTGCCAGGTTCTACCTCCGCTGAGCAAAGGATACTTTTATACGTAGGCATAGATCTTCCTCTTTTACTAATCTGACATGGTGCATCTTGAGACAACATATGATGGAATCCAAAGACAATTTGAAACAAAGGTGGATGTAAATTATTTTGGTTGTTCCTATTTCATTCTCTTTTTTTTAAAGCTCCCTTTTTATATTGCTACTCTGTTTTGAATGTCCATCAGTGTATGAAGGGTACGCACTGTTCTAATGATAATGCACTGCTTCATTCAGCTTTCTGTGCTAATACAGTACAAAGTGTCCAGGAACAATTGTTCTGATCATTTTGATATGTAACTTTAAAAATTGAGTCTCATGCAATA